TGCTTGGTCGATTTCCTATGACTTAAGACTCCACGATCATCTACGAATTCTATGTAAACGAGCCTAAAGTCTATCTAAAAGATAGGTTAGATTCTATATAGTTTACTTCTGTTACTAATAATTGATTGGTATAGTAGACTAGTAACAATCACAATAACAAAATTTGTTGTCACATATTTATCGATCACCGGTTAAAGGTACTGGTGGCTTGCTAAATTAACAAAATACTTTCTCTCAATGCAAAAAATAGCTAAAATAGATAAGCAAGTACTGCTATATTGGATATGTCCCAGTGAGAAATGACAATGGAATCGACGTCGATTCGATATCGATTCCATTGTTATTTCTCTCACTGTGGTATTACATCCAATCATATAGACAAAGATAGAATTTAGATTTGTGCTATAAATTCTATTATGTATATGATACATAATTTTCTTATAATGATACATAATCAGATACAAAAAGCAGTTATAATTCTAGTTGGATCAGTAAAATATTTTTTTGCGTGAATGGCTCTTAATTAATAATAAAGTCGAATCAAAATTCAATATGGGGACCGAAAGACGCTAATAATAAGTGAAGGACGATAAATATGTGCAAGTTAACTTTCCTTATTTACTTAATTATATTTTTTTAATTGATACATATAATTTTTGAATTATTTGTTTGCCGAGGGGAACGATATATTTCGTATCTTTTTACAGACACAATTTAAATTAAATTCTCTCTTTCTGACTTTGACCTTTAGATATCGTTGAAAGTCGAGCACTTCGGGGGCATCTTGTGTATTATTAAACGTGTGTTTAATAAACTGTACTGTAAGTGGGAGAGAATATTGTTGAGAAGAAAAGAAGAGGAAAATAAAATTTACAGACCTATCGCGACCTCAGGCAAGACCGGTATCGCTTACACAGTGGAGCAGTATCGTCATTCCCGTGATACACGCAGTTGTCACGCGACCAACGACTGACGATAAACAGTGACATACACATACCCGTCTTGAAGGATCATAATCGAACTCGACCTCTCCGCCGATCGACAGTTTAAAACTGCTTTGCAATCGATTTGAAACGTGTCTTGCAAGAGAATCTCCCGTTGCTTCTCACACCGTCCTTTTGTTTTCGGGATTCTTGTGTCGGCGCAGTGCTTCTTCGGTATTCACGAAAATGAGCGAGAGGAAAACTGAATCTCAGGAATTTGACGAGAAATTGAGGGCATTGGAAAAGCAAAAAAACGCAAAGAAACTAGAGCAACACAAGAAATCGATGGAAGAATCCAAGAAGAAAGTGGAGATATTAACAGAAAAGCTTAAGACAGAAACTTTGCAAAGTACCAGAATTACGTCTAAAATCTCTACTCCCAATAAACCTAAGGAACCTAAAGCTACAGAAACATGTCAAATATCCAAGACTATAACCGAATTGTCTATCTCCAGCAAGCCTGACAATTCTGAAGCTATAGAAGAAGAATGCCAAATATCCAAAACAAAACAGCAACCTGAGACTTCCAAAGTATGCCAAAAGCCTAACATTACGTCAAAAATTTCCACTTCCAGCAAAACTGATCATAAATTTCCAGAAGTATGCGAAATGCCGAAGATCACATCCGAAACGCACGCTTCCGACAAATCTGAGTATCGTAAAGTTCCAGAAATGCACAAGATTACATCGAAAGAGTCCACCAAGCTGGAGGCTTCTGAAATTCCAAAAGCAAAAATGTTCCAAATGCCCAAGACTACGTCCGAAGGGTCCATCGAGTTTGAGACTCCTGAAATTCCAAAAGCTGCAAGAATATTCCAAATGCCCGAAATGCTCAAAACTACGTCCGAAGGGTCCATCGAAATTAAGGCTCCTGAAATTCTGGAAGCTGCAAAGGTATGCCAAACGCTTAAGACTACATCTGAAGAGTCCATCAAGCTTGAGACTCCCGAAATTCCACAAGTTGCAAAAGTGTGCCTAATGCCCAAGAATAGGACCGAAGCGGACGGAGGGTTCACCCATATTACAAGTGAAACTTTTGAAGATCCAAACGTTGCAGAAATGCCCGAGAGTTCTCAGGAAGTCCAGACTACGTCCGAATCTTTCACCTCCAACAAAACAGAGGAAGCTGAAATGTCAAAAAAATGTCCAACGTGCAATACCAAAATCGATGAGATATATGGAAATACAGAATCATGCTTAAAGTGTGGTTCTATACCGGCCATTCCCATAACAAGTGATGAAACGAAGAAACTATTAATACATAGCAGACCAAAACTTGTAGATGATGAGTCCACTACTATAGATGATGAATCCACTTCTATAGATGATGAGTCCACTACTATAGATGACGAGCTCACTAGTACATCCTCTATTGTAGTTGATGACTACAAGTTAGATGAGAAAGAGAAGGACGATTTAAACAATTTCATTAAGCTTGAAAAAAGTCAGGTTGAAGAAGGTCTTCTTAAAGAAAGTCTTCTTGAAAAATGTCCTCTTGTAAAAGATCTTGAAGAAGGTCTTCTCGAAGAAGATTCTACGGAATCAGATGATACTGTCAAGATAGTAACGATACCCGTTATCGAAAAAGTTGTAAGTTTTAACTTAATATTTTCTCTCTTAATAGTGTTTTATAAATTTTAATAATTTATTTCAAAAACGTAATTTATGAATATTTACTTTTTGAAATTTAAAATTTTTCAAAATATTAATTTATATTTTAAAAATTAGCTTGAAAGAGTTAAATAAATTTAAAGAATTTATTTCGATTGTTTCATAAATTTAAATCATCCAATAATAGCTATGCCAAAAATTTCGTTTACATAATTTTATAATTCTTATTCTGAAATCTAAGTTTTCTTTCTCAGAATAAATTCAATTAAATTTCTTAAATAAATGTTATTCACAAAATTAAAATAAAATACGGTTAAGATAGGAGTTGACTAAAATCTTGAACATTTAACGAAGGAATTAGCTCGAGACGTGGTTAATGCACGTAAATTCTGGCCACCTATGTCAAGACCGAACTTCCAAGAACATCATTTGGTCCTGGCAACGCACCATTTAGTGCCCTCACTGCCGATTGGGCTCTTCGAAATGTTTGCAGAAATGATCGAAGTTGTCACGAAGAAGCCAGTTGTCTTGTTGCACGAGTGCAGAAACAATCGACCTATCGCTACGGAAGTCGCCGATATAGGTACGCCTAAATATATTTCTCAAGAAAGATTTTATTATTCTAAAATATAAACGAAGGATTTTATAAATACATCTGAAGGTCAATTACGTATTATTTTTCTTCAACGTCTTTTCTTTAAATATGTATCCTTAAACATCGCTTTGTGGTGTTTAACTACGATAGTTTTTTATTTCAAGGCACTAGCTTACGAACTTTGTTTGTTCACTACCGACGGAGAGAAAAGTGCATCCTATTAAAAAATATAAAACAATACTAATAAAAAAATAAAAATTTTATCTTTTAACTTATTTCTGCAGTTATCTTGCCCGCGGCCGAAACATGGAAAGACGGTGTACTCTTACCCGCAAGCTTTGTTTTTGATCATCGTTTAAATAAAGATAAGTCAGCCAGCGTGTACGCCGATGTAATCGTCACAAAGGATCGTGCTCCGCATATTCAAGTAAATGAATTTAGCAATTTTTAATCATTTTTCTTATTCCTTAGTCTATAATTAATATAGTTTAATTTTATGTATCATTAAAATTTGTATTTATTTAAAAATAATAATTATAAGATGTACATTCTCTCAAATAATTTTAAAATACACAATCATTTATTAACTGCAGAATATCATGGATTTGCGAGGATATAGATGCGCTGTCTCGAATAATACCATACAACACCAATTCTCCGCCGCTGGATTACTCCTTAATTATTTGCACTTGAAAGGCGAAAACATGATATTTTTTGGCAATATACTTGGTTAGTTGAAAGTATTTTATCTATATAATTGATGATTATTAATTATATCAACTATATGTAAATCTATCAGTTGTATGTTCGTTTCGTTAAGATCCTCATTATAGAGATGCATAAAAAAATGTCAAAAAAGAATGCCAAATTGAAGAAATAACAATAGTAAACGAAATATTGTTGAGCGAAAGTGTTAAATAATATTTGCTTTGTCTATCGTATCTTACCAATGAATCGAAATCCTTTTGAATAGTAGATACAAAGTTTTTTTTCAATTACCTTTTCAATTCAGAGGCTAGGACGCAACTCGAAGTACTGGAAATGGTCGCCAGTAAGCAGACGGAAGTGGGGATTCTGGACTCAATGACGATAAAATGTAACAAGTACAACGTACCCGGTGTGGATTCTCTTCACATCCTCACCAGCCTGGGACCTTTGCCGCCCTACCGCATTATGATAAAAAATACACTAGGTATATTAATCTATGATTATATACCTATATTATATTGTGAAAATAGATATTGTCGAAAAATGCTAGAAGGATCTTGTGGAATATAATCTGTTTTCATTGAAAAAATCATATAGAAGTATATGTAATTATTTATTAAAAAATACTTCGAAAATTAAAATAAAAACTTTTTAAATAAATGAAATAAAGATAAATAGCATTATGTGTAAAATAAAAAGAAAAGATTTTTTCAATCTATTAAAATCGGAAAAAATAAAGCAAAGAAAAAAATATCTACGAGATAGACGTTCTGTGCGTGCTTTAAACTTTTCTTCGTTTTATTTCTCTTTGTTAACATATTTTTCTCATTTTATTCAGAGAATCAACTGGTCGAAAAACTTACAGCCTATCTATTAAACATAGATAAAAATGAGGAATGGCTGGAGAGACTGTTGCCCTATGGCGTCATAGGTTTTGCCAAGAACTCTATGGATTACTACAATCTGGCTGATAAAAAGTGCGTAGACACTAATGTGCCCTACTATTAAAATTATTTTACATTATTTATTCTTTACTTCTGTCTTTTATCGTTTTATACATATATACATTTATAAATGAATTCTCTTTTTTGCTTGAATATAACATGTGGTATTTTATTAAATTTAAATAAATATAATTCACAAATTTATTCTTCATTTATACAAAGACACACACACACACACACACACACACACACACACACACACACACACATATATATATATGATTTGTGTTAGAAAAAAGATTCTCTCTAGCTTTCTCTCCCACTCATTTTCTCTCTCTCTCTCTCTCTCTCTCTCTCTCTCTCTCTCTCCCCCCCCTCCCTCTCCCTTTCTCCTCCCCCCTCTCTCTCATCCCATTTTTTGCTCTTTTCCGCGATAACACACTTTTCAATTTATTCCAAATCGATTCACATAGTGCGTAAAATACTATCAAAATTCGCTTTGTAAATTGTAAAATTCGTCTAGAAGAACTCCCGATATAAATAATACGATATAAACAATTCGGTGAGATTTACATTCTGATGGATACTTAATTTTTTTTTTTTCAAATAATTCTGCTCGCAACTAAAATTTAGAATCGTTTCATCAGTTCATTACTTTTAGTTCATATTTTTCATAAATTTCGATAAATTTGTGAAAAATAACAAATTTTAACAAATATAAAACTCGTCAAATTTTTCATAATTTTTGGAAAAATTCGTTTCGTGATTTTTTACTTTTTTTTTGTATAATTGAATTTTGGAAATTTAATTTTTTTTCTGAAACTCACAATTTTTTCAAAATGTGTAAAATCGTCTTGTTTCAAGAAACTCGAAACAATTTGAAACTTCTGTTATCATCAATACTTTCGTATGTTCGAAACAATTCAAATATATTTCTTAGCCCATGCTAGACTCGTGGTAAATTTTAGCCTACGTTTAAGTCACTACGTCATCGGGATAATCTCACGGAAGATCACAAAAAGTTTGGCGGAAGCATCCCATCGGCGAGACGTATAAACCCAGTTGACAGGGCGTTGTTTAGAAACTCCTCCAGCCGTACTAGAGGCCCGCCACCACCGCCCGCGACATGACGCATTCGCGGAAAATACTGTTCCATCAACAGCGTCAGCAACTTATAAAACTGTTTCGGGTAGGCGGTCCACAGCACATTACCGGCAACCTCAAGCATATCCAGTATTAAAGTCGCGCACAAATCACAAATATCGGCTCGTGGTTCTGAAAAGTAAAAACATAAATTTTTCTTATATGATATTTATACCTTTATATATTGTAAAGACTTTACTTCTATTTTTCTACACGTCTTGCTTTTATATATTTTTTAAATATTTTTATTCTAGCGATTTATTTTTAATGCAGAACATTAATATTTACATTTTATTATATGTAAGTTTCTTACCAATATTCAAAACGGCGGCCAGCCATCTCCAAGAATGCTGAAGACCGTAAGGATGAATTTTGGTAACACTCTTCCGCTGTTTCGTGACGGTAATCGACGCATACAATCTGATCAATCCCGACATCCTCTTTAGGAATTTATCTTGCTTTTCGACGGTGCCATCTTCAGAATATTTGCAGCCAAGAGATTTGTAATAATCCTCATTGGACTGACCCTCTTGTTGCTGTAGAAAAACTGGTATGGTGAATGGACATGCCTCGTGAAGATGCGCCAGAAATAGTTCACCAAAGTCTGGATGCTCGTTCCAAAGAGCCACAACAATCATCGCCACAGGGAATGCCATTTCTGGTTTGCTAGACACCAAAGTCTCGCCTTGGCTCTAAGAATTCATATAATATTGATCGTAAATTTATTTAAAAAACAAAATATATTTAATCTAATAGCAAAAAAATTTATTTATAAATTAGATTAACTTTAACATAATTTTATTTTTATTCAATAAATTTTCGCTTCTAAATTAAAAAAAAATAGAGATCGATCATAATCAACTCATAAATATATTCTCCTGTAGTTATACATTTTAAAAAGATACGTACAACTATCTTTTTCGCCAGATGGTTTTTACAGAAAATTACTCCTTGTGGATGATGTGTCACGTTAGGTAACAATTTTCCAGTCAAAAGATTCTGTAGTCTGTCATATTTGTCTCTCAAGTGTTGCTCGCTTACACCAGAAATCGCGTTTACAGGGATATTGATCGCCTTTTGACACTCGAAGCGAAATTTCTTTGTTGCAGGCGATTGTAAAAAATCCTTGCAAGTTTCTCTATAATGCTTCAAGAATTGATGGCTCCTGATGTAAATATCGAACGATTCCTGGTCGATATACTCAAAGGGATCGTCTACAAATTTATAATATTATAAATTAATTAATTAATCTGTTTAGTTAGAAATCTAAACTTAGATAAAAAATTAAATTATATTAGATTTAATCAGATCGTCAAGATATGAATGTAAAGTAGATATAAAACGGAATAAAATTGCAAATATATATATGTATACATTATTAATTTAAATACTTCAAATGCGTCTTATATGCTTTTAGAGATCTTAATCACCTTTTTTACATGCAGAATTTTTAGTCGTTTCTTCTAACTGAGAATCAGATACAGATGGTGCGACTACTTCGTTAACTGATGTAACTACTACTTCTTGATTCGTTATCGCATTGGAACTATCATCTTCTTTGTTTTCCACAACATTGCTTTCATTTGGCTGTTGACAAGGTATTGCATTATTAACTGGAACATTGTCTGTCTCTTCGACTGGCTGTATCAAGCTTGCAACTTGCGCTTTTCGAGCTAATTCCGCTTCATATTGAGCATTTATTTTTTCTACAATGTGTAACAAAGTATATTTAACACAAGTTTGAGATAAAAGAAACATAACTGTCTACAAGAAAATTCACAAACCTGTTTCTATATAAAATACATTTAATATATCACTGAAGTGGCAAACCAAACCCTCAATAAGATTTTCATCTGCAGCTACCAATTCTCCATTCTATAAAGCAGACAAAAATATCCGTCATTTATCAATTATTAAACAAGTATTATATAACATCTATAGAATGTTCTGGAAAAAAATCTATAAAAATTCATGATTATCTCTTTTTTGTTAGTAAATACAATCAGTATTTAAGAAAAATATTTAATTTTATATTTTTTCTTACAACACAAAGTTTTTCTTTTTTTTTTCGATAATTACTCTGATTTTCTCATCTATAGCTTCGATTCGTTGGAACACATCTCTTATCGTCGTGCTTTGTGCGGTAAATATCACACTGAACGCTTGCTGGTCTTTGCAGGTCTTGGATAATGCCACGAGGTCACAGTACTTGGCCGTGAACTGATTCCGATGAACTGACACAGTCTTGATCAATCTTTCCTTTTCTTTCATTCTTCTTCGATATTCCTCCATCTCTCGTTCAAGCTTTTCTTTTTGCTCTTGAGCGCGCTGTGCCTGCAATTGTTGCTCATGTCGCCTCTTGATCTCTTCCTGCTCCGCCAACCGTTCCTCTTCAGCTAAGAAATACGCCAACTTCTCCTCACTCCGGCGTTCGCGTTCACGTGCCATCGATGAGCGCGAATTTGCCATTTGTTCCTGAATTACCCGAGCATTCTCGTTCATATGCTGAATGCGACGATCTATTACTTTCTGCAATACACACAAATGAAGAAATAACGATAGAAGGTACCAATGTATATGTGATAGCAGGTGTGACATTGTGTTTTTAATATCATCTTCAACAAAGAATTTCATTAGAGTTAAACATTCATCTCAAATTATCATCTATTCAAAGTCTACTATATTAATTGTTTATACATTTTGTTAATAATTAACCAAAATTATATTTATTTCAAATTACTACTCACAGACAAACTCATAGAATTTTTCATATCATTTATTTAATAATAAAATTATATAAAAAATACAAACTCAAAGGACATGGAGATGCTTGCTTCCCCTGAATTTTGGCAAAGAGAAACAATTAGCAATTTCTAAATTATGAAAGTCATTTTTATGAAAAATTAAACGCTTATTGCCAATGCATGGCTCATGTGTTATTCGCAAGAAAGTTTGCTGAAGATTCGCAAAGACTTCATACAAGTATTTTAATAAGTATGTGTTTGTGTGTGTAAAGATATGAATGTTGGCATCCCCTTGACTGAAATGAGTACGTCTATGTATAAATTTAATTAAAAATAATATTAAGATGAATATTTAATCAATATATGTATCATATGACGTCATAGCAATCAAGATACCCAGACTTCTTCTTTTCTTTGCAGTTCACTCTCCGCATCAATCTTATTGACTGAGAAATGAATGCCGTTTGAAGTAGCCACCATGTTGTGTTTGGGACTAGTAATAGTTCTCTGTGGACTTTTAATGTTACAGGAATTTTGCTCATTCTCAATGTTGTCCGCTTTGTTAGAATCTTCTTCATACAGCGTAGATTGAGGCCCAATCGTGATACAATCCACTTTTGTAGTTGCTGATATACGCGACGCCTTCTGCAATACAGATACCTTGAGGCGAGTAAAGTCCGATGTGATATCCATGTCGTTCACCTGTAAAACAACAGTTGCATAATTGAATTTGAAGCCGTTTGAGATATAAAGCCAAGATTTTTTACCTTTTATTGGAGAGTTAAATAGAATTTTATGTCTGTTCTTTTCCTTATTCCAAGACTGAACTTCTTGCACGGTTTATCTTCTGTCTTTTTCTCTCCGATGTAAAAAGAAAAAGGATGAACTGTGCAAGAAGTTCAGTCCTAGAGTATGAAAAAAGAACAGACCTATAGACTTGACGTTGGACAATACTTCGTAGAAAACAGATCATCAAGAATATGTACGTACAAACACAGAGAGAGACTTTATATGTGTTATTATTTGTAGTTCAGCGCAAGTAGAACTTAAACAAAGCTCGTTCAACAATATAATGATATAAAAATATTAAAACTGCAATAAACAAAGATCTCCAAAAGTTTATCCCAATTTCCACACATGCAATATACAATCTTTCTCTTATTACTCCAGAACAATATGTATACGCCAATGTATATAACCTTCATTTCTCGACTTACCGTGTTGGTTTCTACTTTCGTCCTCTCCGAATGAAATGACATGATTTTATTTCGCGGGATTAAAGGCGCGCGACTGCAAACTACCCAAAACTATCTCGTGAATCTAACCTTATTTAGATCGGAGCGCGCGAATTTACATCCTCTTGTGATCGACATCGACGGGACAAACCGCACGCTGAGATCATCGTTCTCTCATCGCGTTACTCGATCACGTTGATTGTGCACGTCATTTCATTATCGGCATCCCGATCCTCGGCAATAATCCGTTCGTTCGCATGCAACAATTAATGTGCCGAGACAGCGGCGAAACAACACCTGACAATACCGCAAGACCGCAACACAAAGATGATATCAGCGACTAGCGAGCTATTAAAGGGAGATTCACACCGGAATAATCGAATTTGTCTATTAGAAGCAAAGAAGAATAACATATAGCGAAATAGAATTTACAATAATTACAATTTATAAAATTGTGATGCTTGCAATTTTGATTTCTTATGTCTTACTACTCTAACTTTATTTATTTTTATAACTTTTTCATGTCGGTAATTCGAGGATTGATATTTATTTAACCATAATAAATTTAAGTGACCTTATTAACTGTTGTTAATTAACTGCTTTAATCAATATCTTGCAAATTACAAAAATATATTTTCAAAAATAAAATATTAGAAAAAAATAATTAATGGAAATGTGACACATATTAAATTTCAAGAATCGTTGTTAAATCTTATCGTCTGAATGTTTAAACTCTCAAAATTTGATAAAATATTAGAAATACATAATTGAATGGCACTAAATCTAAAATTTCAAGAATTGTCAAAGTTTAATTAATAAGATCTAAAAATTCGATTAATTATTAGACCAAAATCGGAGTAACTTTGATCTAAATTTTAATGATGGCTGCGTTCAACAGAACAACAGTTTTGCAACCGATAATTTTATGTTACCTGCTGAAATAGGATCATTCTTCTAGATCTAAAAGTATAATGCAATCAGCGCGAATTAAGAAAATTTCTAAAGTTGCAAAATATAAACATTCTGCTGAACGCAGCCAATATATATTTTTAAAATAGATCAAATTAAAGTTACTTCATTTTACAGTAATAAATATGTAGTAATGAATATAAAAAAAAATATTAAAAAATCGAATATGATCAAATAATAGTAAAATGAATAGCACAAATCGCGCGATTCTCTATGGCTGCGGCGTTAAGGCCGCAGCACACACTTTTGCATAACGCATAGTGCATAAGCGAATCAACTAATCAAAATCTTTCCTTTCCTCCCATTCCATGGAAAAGAAGAATTTTGATTGGTCGATTCTTTTATGCACTATGCATTATGCGTTATGCAAGAGTGTGTGCTGTGACGTTTATGGCCGCAGCACAGACTCTTGCATAATGCATAATGCATAGTGCATAAGAAAATCAACCAATTGAAATTCTTCTTTTCCATAGAATGAGAGGAAAGGGAAGCTTCTGATTAGTTGATTCGCTTATGTACTATGCGTCATGCCTTATGCAAAAGTCTGTGCTGCGGCCATAAAGGTCATTATAGGCCTTCTACAATAAGCCGCAAGTCAGAAGTTCTAAGCGATCTTAAGGGCCTGCGCACAATAGAGGAACAAGAATTAGATATTAAGATTTCAACCTATCAGAAACCGTGTATTCCGATGTAATCAGTTTCTGATAGGTTAAAATCTTAATATCTAATTCCTGTTCCTTTTCTAACATCCCAAATCATTGAAATAACAGCCAAGATGTAACATTTTTGGAACGGCAGGTAAATGTTACAATTGAAATATTATTTTGAAATTTATGAAACGATTTATAAACTTGTTTATGTAACATTTCAAATTTGCAGTGTTGTTGCCGAAATAAAACATCCCCTGCATGTTTTATGTTTAGTGGATGGCAAAAATAAAAATCGAGTGTATACTGTTAAATATGTCAAAGGAGCAAATGGCAATCCCTTGAAATAATTTTATTTTATTTTATGTTAGCTTTTAAATGACATTTTATTTTAATTCACGAAATACTGACATATTAAAGATAATATTTCTGCAATTGTATTTGAATTTTCATATGCATCTGGATGTTTTACAGAATTCATCTTGTCCTTATTTGCTTGATATATCGGCCAGCAGTTTAGGCAATTTACCATGTGATCAAAAAACATTTCATTAACAAAACATTCTACGCTATGTTTTATCTCTTCGTAAAGGTGATCGTGGGACAACAAATGCAAAGTCATCACCAATTCTAGTCGTTTCCTCTTACATAATTCTTCAGGATTAAGCGATTCTGCACCTAAAAATGCACCAAAGTTCCCAGTCAGAAATGATAATGAAATCGACATCGAATCGATACTATATAATGTAAAAAAATATTAATTTTCAGCATTACATGTTAGGATAGTAGTGTATATCAGAGAACATAATCTCCCATAATTTACCATTTTGCGTCAAAAAGCTATGCAGAAGATTATTGCGCAGGAGTTTGGAAACTCCTACGCATAATCTTCTGCGCAGATGCTCGACACTCGACGCTTGCATGTAAAATGGCACCTTAAAAGGGATCAGTAAAGGGCTCCACACAATAAAAGGAACAGGGAACAGAACAGAAAACAAGAATTTCAACCTATCAGAAATCATGTGGAATACGCAGTGGGTATTCCACAATACATGATTTCTGATTGAAATTCTTGTTCTCTGTTCTCTGTTCCCTGTTCCTTTTATTGTGCGGAGCCCCTAATAGCTGATTGCGTATTACGAAAAATTAATTTTATTAAAATATTAAAAAATGAAAAAGGTTAAGAACTTGTCGAAATAATCGATGCTACTATAAAGTGAAAATAATTGTAACGTAAGATATATAATGGAAAAGGTGCGAAGTTTGCTAATTTGCGATCAGATTAACCTAATACTCACATCTTTTGAATGTAGATTGAAAATATCAACGTACATAAGAATTATGAACTTTTTATAAATAAATTTTTATAATATTTTGGGGTTGATTTAATATTTTCGGATTTTTTATTTAGGCCTAATTTTATAACTCACGGTTAACTCTTAATTAACCGAAGTTCATCTTATTTTTCATCTCTTTTCAATTCTAATATTAGAAAGAGATGAGAAATAAGTTGAATCTCAATTAAGAGTTAACCATGGCTGCGTTCGAAAACATCACCCGGGTGTCTCCGTGTATCATCTTATCCTTGTTTAACACTGAGTGAACAACAAAGATAATACGACACGCGGGGGCATTCAAGTGATATTTCCGAACGCAGCCCATGAGTTGTGAAACTGGTGCTCTATTTTTGAGCACATATATGTATATAATTTTTACATACGAAAATGACAGTTTCTCGATTGTGTGATTGATCGATTGTATACGGAATAGCTATTTCTGTATGCGATATTTGTTGAAGAATAAGGTCCCTGGGCCTTAATTTTCAACCAGCTCAGTTTTTCTATTGGAAGATACGATCCAATACGGTACGAACAGCTATTTATACAGAAATTCATTAGGTAAATTTAGGTCATGTGACCAGCAGATAAGAAAGCAGAGGATGCGTTACCTACTGCTTAAACGAATGCACCCTATGTTAACCTTCTACCATGGATAACTTACCCATTGGAGCATTACCACCCATTTTGGAGAACCTAAATTGTCAATTTTATTTTTACTATCTTGTATTGTCTCTATCTACACCGTCGGTTTTTCGTTTATATCTAAAAAAAAAAAAAACCATATATTTATATATTACAATGATACGGATTCAATTCATCTAATGGCTTCTGCACATTGGACGTGGAAACGCTTGCCGCGCGAGAAAATGCGACGCAGTGTGTACCCATAAATATGTACGGGTGTCCTGGGTATCTACCCATAAAGCGGAATAGCATAAGTCCGGATCTACAATAGGGTTTTAAGCCTTAGGGCCATTCCACATAAACTTGCATAGCCGCATAAACATATGCATAAAAAAAAATCATCCAATTATAGTTTAGAAAATCATCTAGTTTAGAAAATCATCCAATCATAGTGTCTTTATGACAGAAATGTGATTAGATAATTTTCTTTATGCATATGATTATGCGGCTCTGCAAGTTTATGTGGAATGGCCCTTAAGCTATCAAAAATGGGCGAATCACAGTTGCTTATTCTTCTCGGATTCGACTGTAATTGGTCAATTTCTAACGGCTTAAAACATCTATTGTAGATCCGTGGTAACGTCAAACGAGAGCGGAACCAATCACAAACGTTCCGCACGAATTACGGTTGGAACGTTTGTGATTGTTTCTGCGGCGGAAATTGTCGCACTACAGCCTATAATTCTATATTCTTAAGTCGGCCCGACTTTGCAAAACTTCTAGAAATGATGTAATGCAACTTCCATCGCGCGACAAAAGTTGGATTGAGATCAACTTTTGTCGCGCGGTGGAAATTATATATCTATTTACTATTACTTCCGAGCAAGCGAGATGTTGATTGGCTGTCGTGCCAACTTCCACCGCGCGGCAAGCGTTATCGCGTTCTGTGTGCAGGAGCCATAAGAGATGGCATTGCAATAGCATTGTTCGTTTTGTCTCTCAGGAGCTGCTCGAAATCGCTTCAAATGAACCCAGCGTTGAGCGTACTTGAAATGTAGGATTCACACTATTTACGACATCCGTATCGTAAAATTGGATTAACACTGCATCCGATGTGCGTCGTACGACGCTATGCAATCAATCAGAAAACAGAATTCCGAAGGATTTTGCTTCGTATCATCGGAATCCTGCTTTCTGATTGGTTACAGAGCGTCGTACGACGCAAATCGGATGCAATGTGAATCCAACAAATGAATGTCAGATGTCGAATAACGGATATCGTACGTAGTGTAAATCCTATATTTCAAGTACGCTGGGTTCATTCGGAGCGACCCCGAGCAGCTCCGAAGAGACAAAACGAACAATACTTTAGAGTGAATAGGAGCTATGGCAGGAGCATGTTGGAGCATACGACACGAACAAATATAGAAATTTAATAATTAGGCCTCGTCTACAATCAAGTCGGCTGACGCTTGTCGGATGTCGTTAGTCATAAAAGATGGGACCTGACCAATCCAAACGATGCCCAGCAGCCGACATCGATAGCCGACACGAAAAATGAAAGTTACGCGTATGTACACAACATACGACTGATTGTAGCCCAGGCCTTAACCAATCAAAAAATGTAGCCGCAACTCGACCGCATCCAAGGACAGATAAACGCGTTTCAGCAAGACACAGCGATATACATAAATAAGTATAAGAAATAAATGAAAGATATCACTATTATCGAATTTGGAATTTAAAAAAGTCTGTACTATCAATCTCAATCAAACATCCCCTTAACTGGAACTCTGGTGAAAAATGAACGATCCAGAATTTGGTTAAATCTATTAGATTTCTGATTAAATCTACTAAAAGGGCCACTTTCACTATTGTCGGTTTATTTAAGCAACCTAGTAACTGTAATGAAATAGAAAAAGATAGAACTATTCATATCTCTTTCTATTTCATTACAGTTAGCCTGCGGCACACGATGCTTGTTTTCTTGCTGGATTGCTAGCTGGATTAGAATCTTGTCACTGTATTGGCTGCGATGCTGGCACTGTCAGCATCGCAGCCAATACCATGGCAAGAATCTAATCCAGCTAGCAATCCAGTAAGAAAACAAGCATCGTGTGCTGCTGGCTTTATTAGGATGTTTAAAGGCCATGGCATATAAAAAAATTTAAGGCGTAAGACTTAAGCAGTAAGCGAATCGACCAATCACAATAGAGACCGTAGGCCTGTTCTTTTTGGCTGAACTTTTGCACCAGTTAATCTTTCTTCCTCTTCTTGCCTCCTAAAGAGAAAAGGAAGAAAGATGAACTGGTGCAAAAGTTCAACCAAAAAGAACAGGCCTTGTAAGATCATACGTAAGCAATAGCGAATCCAACATGTTGATTTCGTTAAGGTATATCCACACAAACTTGCATAGCCGCATAAACGTATGCATAAAGAAAATTATCCAATCACATTTTATGTACGACTTTAAAAGACAACTGCAATTGGATAATTTTCTTTATGTATATGTTTATGCGGCTATGCAAGTTGTGTGGATATACCCTTACTGCTTACGTCTTATGTCTTAAATTTTTCTATGTGCCAAGGCCTTACTCCGGATCTACAATAGGTGTTTTAAGCCTTAAGCCGTAAGAAATTGACCAATTACAGTCGAATCCGAGAAGAATAAGCGACTGTGATTCGCCCATTTCTTATGGTTTAAGGCTTAAAACCCTATTGTAGATCCGGACTTAAGTAAACCGACGATGGTGAAAGTGGCCCTGAATGTTGGTTATTTCGACTATAATTTTAATAGATTTAACCGGAAATCTTGTTTAATTAGAATGATCCAGATCAGAAATCTGGATCGTTCATTTTCTACCAGAATTTTAGTTAATTCAACTAAACATTTTTTTCTGTGTATGTAAAGAAAGAAAAGCAAGCAGCATGACGAGCCACGTATATACGTGGCATGGTCGATATTATGCAGTAAAAAAAGGAGATAAAACTCGAGGATGAAACAATATGGGTTCAAACTTCGAAACATTGGAAAACACGATGGAAAATCGCGGAAATTCGGGACAATGCCATTATGAAAAAAGTTAGAAGTACCATATAATAACGCGTACGTGGAACACACATGAGGCATATTTTCGTTCCAATACCCTGATGAAAATAAAAATTGGATGTAATGGGAGAGTAACAGTAAACAAAACTTTTAGAAGGCGAACATTAAAACATCAAAATGTAAAAGAAGCGTAAATGCTTCTTTTATATTTTGTTGTTCCAATTTTCGCCTTCTAGAAGTTTTGTTTACGCTTTTGTTACTCTCCCATTACATTCGACTTATACTCCGATTTTTATTTTCAAGGCACGTATGCATGTTTTATTTTTAACGCAGAAATTCAAATTTATATAAAATTTGATTTTATTTAATAAAATAATCAAATCTTATAGGAATCTTGTACAAATCTTATAAAACCCGATAAAACACGAGAGAATTCATATCCGATATTAATCGTGACGCTCGCGAGGCCGACGATAGAAAATGATATAAACTTATAGAAACTGATACAAATTGATAGAAATTTTATTATCGTTCTCAATTATTCTCTATCAATTTTATTTTGTCAGGGTTCTGTCTTGTGTTCAGATGAAAAAGTGAACAAGATGAGAATAGAATGAGAGATATCTTTGATTTGCAAAACCGAACGCAGATTATGTGTTTTATATTTATATTAATTACTATTAAGAATTAAAAGATAAAAGAAATACACGTTACTTTATCGCATACCGTATTGCACTACATCTAATTGTATTCTAATTTCTCTATAGTCGTATCGTATACTTACCAGGATCGGGACCGATGAGTAGCCAACTCGATTATACACGTGTGAGATAGTTGAAGACAGTGTAAGTAATGCTAGACATACTTTTCATGTACCCTGTTGTGCAGCTAATCACAGAAAGGTAGAGTCCCTCTAGTAGGAGTCAAGTCAAAGGGTGCGTTCCGTTTCTCGCATGATGCGCATAATGCGTCGTTTATCCTTGTTGCTCACCAAATGTTAAACAAGGACAATGGATGCATCATGCGCATCATGCGCGATACGGAACGCACCTAAAGATAGAGAATGGACTGCGCGATCTGTGTGTCAAAATGGTCGATAGGGATGAGAGAGAGAGGGACCGTGGGAGACGGTCATTTCTATCTCTTTCCATTCAATGGTGTAATGGGAGAGAGAATGAGAAAGAGATTGACCGTCTCCCACGGTCCCTCTCTCTCATTATTGTCGACCACATTTGATACATTACTTATAGCGTATTCGATTACTGACTCGACCCGACTCCGAGTCAACAGTCTGTTCTTTTTAGCTGCATTTCTTACACGTAATTTAACTCTTCTTTTGCAGCTAAACAGAACAGACTATTGACTCGGAGTCGGGTCGAATCAGTAAATCGAATACGCTATTAGATACGGATCGCTCAGTCCATTCTCTATGCTTTGGAGTCAAGTCAGACCGGAAGAACGCCATTGGAAAGCACCGGCCGAAAACAGCAAATAACGCGCGCGCCATTCAGTTTCGGTAATATTGAAATGTAATAATTACAATTCCGTAATTGTTAATTAAATCATGTTGCATGTATACAGATTAGTTTGTTTTCAACTCACTATTTTTGTCTGCTGAAAGACGGGCTTCATTGACATCGTAAAAAGCCAATTTATAAACCTGAACTGCGAAAAACGCCATTAGATTGAGATTAAGATTGAAGCTTGCTCAATCACACTATGAATTGTATCTAACAGCAGTTAAGATTGAGATTAGTAAAAATATCGGGATAGCTAGAACCACACATAACAAAAATGATTGAATACGCATTTAATTGCACTTACACGTTTTAATTATGCTGTGTTTGTACTTCTTATAACTTATAACCCTTTATAACTTATTATTTGTACATATACATTAGGGGCTACGCATAATAAAAGGAACAGAAAACAGAGAACAGAGAAGAAGAATTTCAACCTATCAGAAATCATGCATTATGGAATACACACTGCGTGGGTGGCACCCAGTTGGACACGGCTCAATTGGACACGAGCCACTCACAGCGCTTGAGACTACAAAGCTCCTAGGCACCGGTCGCTGTGATTGGTGGTGTCCAATCGAGCCGTGATCAATCGGGATCACCCCTTATTCCTATCGCTATCGCTATTCCTTCGCATTGTTTAAGGCTTAATGCTGGATTCACCCTGCATCCGATTTGCGTCGCTCTGCAACCAATCAGAAAACAGAATTCCGATGATACGAAGCAAAATCTATTGGAATCTTGTTTTCTGATTGATTGCCGAGTCGTACAACGCACATCGGATGCAGTGTGAATCCAGCATTATCCTCTGTTCTCTGTTCCTTTTATTATGCGGAACCATTGAAGTGAAATAGGTTTGATATTTGTCGAAAGCGAAGGTCTGTTTTTTGTGACTGAACTAGTGTACACTTTTGGAACTTAAAGTGAGATAGATATACGTTTGATATTTGTTTAAAGCGAGAAAGAGAGTTCTAGAACAGTTTAGTGCAGGAACAGAAAACAGACCACGAGAAAAAGACTTCTAGTGCAGGGAAGAGAAGACAGGTCAAATGGCGGGCGGGAAATCTCACATATGCATCTATACGCGTCAACGTCAAAAGTATGTGATTTTAAGAGTATGAAAATGACAATACACGTCCGCGAAGTGAATCTTTTACGAATTATCGTTGTCTTGTTCCTGTGTACACTTCGCGTGCAGATTTGTGCGGCAATCGAGGCCAAGATCGATCTCGACGTGGAAGGAAACGGATTTCATAGGTTAGAAACTATAGTTTGTTGTGTAAACAAACGAGCAGAGTCCACGTGTAATTTTTAACACTTCTCTTCCTTTTGCAGAACGTTGATTTTTCGGATACACTTCAAGAATCTTACCCAGGATGGCTGTCAAGCTGCTATTTACATGGAATTACCATCAGCCTTGTACGTCAATACAGACGAAATAGCGGAAATGAGAAGAAGAGGAACGGTATATACTCCTTAATTGTTCATTAATTAATGTAACTTGAAAAAATATCATAATCACGAATCTTAAATCTTAAAATTTATCATCTTATTTTTAAGTTCTATACACATAAAATTATTAATTTACTTTGTAAAATTGTTGAATTTTGATTATATGAATATAAAATTAAAGAGATTAACTTTATCTTTTAAATATTACAAATCTCAAAGCTATTATATTATTCATATTGATTCGATATTCTGTAATTCGTACATCTTAAATTTATGTAATTTATATAGAGAGTAATAACTTAACTATATATCTAAAAAAATCTATATTATATTAATATCATACATATTAGATATATCTATATTCTATTTCATTATATACATAAGATAGATATAAATATAATATCATTCTTTGAGCAATCATCTAATTAATTAACAATATTAATATTTTAGAATACAGTATGTTCCATTGGCGAGACCGATGTCGAGTTATTCGCAGAGAAGGCTGGTCAGCAGAACGTGACAACGTGTGCATCCATAAGTTCATCATTCTCCAGTTTAACAATTCCCATTCACCAACGTTATCGATATGCGCACGAAACAGGCGATTATGTTAATGTGACTTTGCCTGAAGTGAAGCTGCTGCTGGGATGTCGAAAGAGGATCAGGGAACACAGGGTATCTAAAATAGACTTATGTGAACCATGTGTCGGACTAATGGCCAAGTGGCGTGAGATCCCGTATCGTATGTCGAACAATCGCGATTACGTTTGGCGGATACCAATCGGCGACTCTTCTCTCTCGCTCTTTGTTACTTGTGCCACATTAGTGACAACGATTATCGGCGCGATATTTATCGGGCACGCCATTCGGACCAATGCATTGCAAAGTCATCCAAAAGAAGACTGAGGTAATGAAGATGTAAATATATAAGCAGTTTTGTATGATTATCAAATTTTTATCAATGAATGTTTTATAATTAGATAGATTTGATATATTGAATCTCTCTCTTCTTATATAAGACATATTATACAGATACCCGTCTTTCTATTTATATAAGACGTTTTTACATTACATGAAATGTATTAATAATTTATTAAAAATTTTATCTAAATTAAATTAAATTCTAAGCTTTTTAATACAAGTTGCAGCAATTCTGTGTCGCAGAATCTGGAATAGAAATTAATTTCTTTGCTTACATATTCTTGAGGGTAAATTAAAAAGAAATTGTTCTGGCAGGTCCTATGTACGCATTTGACATGAATTCTATATATATATTTTTCGATATTTATATGCAACTTCTAGTCAAGGCATGTTAATATTTTATACACACTTTTTTGAGATAATGTTAACGTTCTAAATCATTCAAAAGTTACCACAAGAAATCACACATTCACACAGATAAATACATAAATTGAATAATAAAATATAAAAAATAGGAAACAAAGTCTCATATTATTACGTTTCTCTATTTTTTTTGTCATGGATTGTCATGGAATTCTCTCGTCTTCCTTTTCCTGTATTGTCGCGATGGTCACCGGCGCTGTCGATATTTTTCGCACGATGCTATCCTTGCTTTCAATTGGATCATTCCACTTTTGCACCTCGCTGGTGCCGAATAAGATGAAGATTAGATTGCCCACCGTGTATATTGCGGCCGAGAGAAAGAACACGCTTCGCCATTGCAATATGTTGGTCTAAACAGGAGAAATGATGACATTAAAGGTATAACACCATTAAATTTATAACAACTAGCAATGCAAATAATTATAGTGTCTTATAATGTCACAAACCGAATCCTTGATGATCACCCCGGCGATCAGCGGTGCGAGGATGCCGCAGGCAGATGCAATAGTATTTGTAAATCCCATGAGCGGGCCAGCGAAGTTCGGACTGAGGTCCATATGATTAATGTTATGGCCGCAAAAAGAAGCGGCGTTGCAGGACACGGCGATGATGAGGATACCCACGGCCAATTCCGGCTGGTCCTGCTCCACGTAACCTAACCCGATCAGCGCGGCTGCCGGCACCCAATGACCAATTGTATTGCAAATCTTCCGGGACATCTTCGTTGTCACGATTCTTTTCCTGATGCACAGATCGGATATATAGCTGATCGGAAAGCTGACGAGCCACGCCGATAAGTAGGGCAACGCCGTCATTATCCCATTCTGTGCAATCAAAAATGCATAGTATTAGTTAATGCTATTTTAATAAACATTTAATGAAATATTACTATAAAATGTTTCTTACTCAAATTGTTTGATATACCAGTTGATTTACTTATATAAATTTGATTTTGAAGTGATATCTTATTTATGTCGAATAGTTCACATTAATAAGAATTAAAAATTTAATTTTTTAATGTCAATAGAATATTTTTAACATCGTAAAGAGAAAATGTTATATTAAATTTATATTTAAAAATATATTTATTAAAATTTATCTAAAAAATGTAATTATATGCAAAGAGTTAAGCGATAAGAGATATCTTAATATTTCATTAATTCTTTTTCAGCCATCATTGATTCGTTCAATGACGATATGACATCGGAATAGTTTAATGTTCATGTCCATGATGCTTGAATATGCCACGTGAGATCTAAGTCTCACGTGGCATATTAATCATTCTTCCCTCGTGATCTTGTCAATATACACATCGAATTATTAATATTCCAAACGCGGCGATTTTCAAAGTCGAAATATACGTGCGACTCTATCCGAGTGCTAATTCCAAGGTTTCCGAAATATTGCAAAAGAATAATTCGATAAGAGAGAGAGAGAAAACGAAGGATAGAATTCTAACGGAAGTTATTTACTGTATGATTATACGAAAAACCTTCTTGATATCAAAACGCATAATCGAAC